GAACCGATTCCACTGCCGCAGCAACCGGAACTGAACATCGCGGCGGACGGCTGCAATTGTGAGCCGGTTCCCCGCGTAAAGAGCAAAGCCACATCTGTGGCTATGTCCCACAGTATAAAAGGGCTGACGATAGACTGCGTTGCGGCGATACAAAACTGCTGCACGTGGGGCAGACCCAGCTTCTTCGCAATTTTCAACAACCATTTAACATCATCGCCGTAAGGGGGGTTCTGCGAGAACTTGATATACGATCGGTCATCGTTTACGCGCCTACCCATTGTCTCCATTGCCAACATCCCGACGCGGTATGCCGCGTACAGATAGTGCGCACTGTTTTGGTCACGTTCTAACTCTTCTGGTGTCGACGGTGCGAGATTCGGTGCGCTATGAGAGATGTGCAATGGAGGAGGTGGAACGGAAGTCATAAACGGAGAGAAGCAACAAGACGCGTTAGAAGTGACCGCCACCGCCGACGGACCCATGGCGTTCATATAGACCGGCATGGCTCCTGACTGTTGCGCTGCGGACGCTGGCCGAATGATCTGTACGGTTGAGTTTTGCTGAGGTGACGAGTAGATCGGAAACGGGAAACCTATCGGTTGCAAAGAGGGAGAGAAGGGTGTCAAAGAAGCGGGTATACCGAAATTTAACGGCATCGCTCCGGAGATTGCGTAGAACGGCTGGATGAACGGAAACGTGGAAACTGGATTAGGCAAGCCAGCCGCCGCCGCCATCTGTATGCTGGCCAATGTATGAGCAGGGGTCATAACCTGAGCATCAACGAGCGATTGTTTCTGTTGCTGATAAGCGATCAGCTGCTGTTGGTGCAGCTGATGGCGATGGTGAGGTTCAGCGGTGTTGTTCATGAACATACCTGAGTTGGAAGAGATTGAAGAAGACGGATCACGAATTCTTTGAGGCCCCTCAGGCAGGTGCCCTGCTGCATTGCCTGCTGCAATAGCGTGAGATGTACCGACAGCGGTGGGGTTCTGATCGCGACTGATGACGCATAACTCACAATACAGTCTGTACCACTGCTGCGCAACCTTGAACAGAATCTCCGGATAGACGCCACCATCCTTGGCTGCCTGCTCGACCGCCAAACAAGCCTTCTCCAACATGGTCGTATTTTGTTCCCTGCATTGTGCCAGTGCGCGGTAAATCTCCGTAGGGTTCAACGCATGGGCATGCGACAGGGCGCTCAGCGCCAGGTCAGCTGCCGCTTGCGCCATGCCCGGGTCTCGACTTAACGACGCCTTATCAGCCAAATTAGCCACCTCCGTAGGCGTGAAGTGGCTTTCCCACGTGTCCCTGAGTATCTTAATCGCCATACGGCCAATTTCGATCGCCTGCGCCGAAATCCACGACACGTCCGATGAGTAAGTGCGCGACAGCCAGTTCGACGTCAGCTTATTGTGGAGACCGAGCGCGTACAAACCGATCTGAAATGCGCACAGGTGCAGAGCGCGGTGAGGACCTAAACATCAGCCTTGTTCTACCACCAAGCATCAGACGCCAGAAGCCTCATTTCAAGACCAACTGCACTTACCGGCGTGAGACTGGTTCGTCAGTCCGCCCTGAGGATTAGTGAATATCGAACTCGAGTGATTTCCGCCGGCTTCGATCAACAGTCGTTTCGCCAACTCCATCATAAAATGTGCATGTGCCTCACTCGGCGTGTTGACATCTCCGTTCGGACAGAAGTTTTCTCTAATAAAGCATTAAAATTACGTATGGAAAATGAGAAAAACCACAAAACTGGATAAACGAGCATTAAGATAAAGTTTCAAGGCCAAGGCTAGAAATCATGCTTTAAAGAATTAAAAAAATTAACCAATCACAGATATGATGACCCCTGGCAGTTGGAAACAAAGGGCGCCAACAGAACAGTGCCTGGATCCTAAATTAACTCGAAACACAATATGGCCTCGGAAAAAAACGCTGACAAAACTACAGGGAAAAATAGACATATCAGAAAGTAATGAAGGAGAATACATCTGAAGATTTAAACTACGTTTCTTCAACAAAACTCAACTAATAAATAGCAGCTACACTGTTTCCTTTACATATTGAATGACACCTTCAAGAAACTTTAAAGATAAAAAACCTTGCAAAGAATCTTTCCTCCTAAAAAAGATATCCAACTTTTTACACGGGGCGTTCTATAAAAATGGATAACCATAAAATACTATTTCCACTACAGTTAATTTTAAATACCTCCCATCCAGCAAAAGACAAGGGAAACTTATGCCAAAACTACATCCATACATGTGACATTTCTACAGCTTGGCAATCTTTAACGCGAACTGTCGTTACTCTGTTTCACATCTTCTCCACTTCTCAATCCCTGCTTCCTCTTCCATCAAGAATTTAACATTAAATAAATGCAGATTAGGTAAGCCACGGAGCAGTGTAACAGGTTAATATCGCGTACGTCGTCTTAACCAGTGATGGACAATCGAAGAAGCAAATCGACTGGAGTCAAACTGAAAATTAAAATCCCAAGCGAGCGGCGTATTAGCCCGAATCGTTGTGCCTAAAGCAGAGCTGAATGTGATGGCTAAGCAATCTGTGATCAAGTTCATCATCATCTCGACGTTCATTTGTAGTCATGAAATATAGGCCATGACTGAAAATCAATGGTCTCAGGTACAGCGGATAAAATTGGTTTTTTGAGAATCTTTGAACAGGGTCCATAGTATGATATCCGAGAAAGATTTTGGGTTCTGCAGCCGCTTCTCTAGACCAAGAAATCATACGTGCGATTATTTGGACACATTTTGCGAATGCCTCAAAAAAGGAGGAGAAAACAGCTACAACTTGCTCAGTGGAACGACTGAGGACACGGAAGGAGGAGGCCAGGAATGACCTAAGGAAAAAGATAACTTTGCTCAAGACTTGGGTCATTATGACGAAGCTCAAACATTAGGCAAGATGAATTGTGAAAAGATTTTACGATGAAATTTACGGTCATGAATTAAATCGTTTTAAAACGCAATGGTGGAATTGAACTTCGAGCCTACTGTCGAATTCAGGGCCAATTAAGCTAAATTTAAAAATCATATTAAAGTAAATTAATATAACCACGTGGCAACTGATTACTCGGACGAATGTGATTGGTCGTCATTGTCGCTGAAGACAAGCACAGGTGTTGAATTTTCCCTAATAATCCGTTCAAAAGCCGGTTCTTCCATGACCAGTTTCGTTGGGGACATATCGACAAGCGCCGCCTTCCGCAGTTTTAGGTGCCTGTCTGAACAAGACGGCTGGTCGTCTGAAAAGTTCCTGGAGCACGGCGGTACTGACATAGCGGTTTCTATTGATTCCACTTCAGAGGTAGCTTTTTCCGACTCCGGCACATCTAAACGAATACATAGAAGCTACAAAGTTTATAAAGTAACACATCAAATGTTTACAACAACCGTTTACTGTTAATCATTCGTAGCGATTAGCCATTGTGACACAACAGCATTAGTGAAAGAAACATTTGATATCCTTTACACAATCTACTCAGAAATTCATAACTGCTACCTAAAGGAAACCGTAAATAAATTTTTTTATAATGGCTTTGAGCACGACTAGATAAACATCGAAATACTACAGACACAATAAGGGATATCATGGTACATCAAATTGTACTCTATCATGAACACCACTAACACGACATTACACCATCGCAAACATCAGTTTTATCTGACAACGACGGTAACGACGAAGACTAGAAAAAATGTTTAAGGAAACGATAGTAAAACTAGACTACATTGCGTAACTATATATTATACAACTAGAGTAGACTATATATCAGTTAAGTGAGCTGTGGCAAAAGGTATGATATGGAGCCATGCACAATGGATAAATCGATTTCTCTGCACGTTAGAATGCAGGTGCAGACCCAAACTCAAAGTGCTAGTAAAATTTTCTCCTATTGTACGCTTCGGTGCAACCAAAGCTGATCGACGACAAATAATAATAGGGACAGTATGGTACTTTGCTGCGATCATGACAAAGCGTGAGAGGCATACGGTAATGCTGCTTGATGAACATTTTGACGTTATTTTGCAATTCGCACTTGATATCTGACTTAATATAAACATAAGGTGTAAATGCAAATGTCAATAAATTTAAAATGGAAACTAAAGAAATTCGCTATTCACTTCAAGAGATCTAACCTCATCAGCGACGCCCTTAGATGTTATAAATTAGACAGTCAATCAACCAATTTCTATGATCGCTTGTCCTTTCTGGTCGCGGAAGCAGAGGTGTCAGACGAGGCTTTCACCGCTCCCAATCCTGTGACAGCGTTGAGCAGCAGCAGAAGACAATCGCAGTCCAGTCCTTCGATATACTTGCCCTAGGTTAATTATAGCCGTCTCCGGTGTAAGGTCTTCCGCCGGTCCTTTGGGCCTTCCTTTCCGGAAGCATTTGAAACACGTGGCCAAACCCTAACAGCTCTGACTTCACAATCATATTAGATGAAGTTTTAATCCCAAAAATGCTACGGCAATTTCGGTATTACGCTATGCTCAAACGGATCCTAACATTCAAATATGATTTTCTCTTCGACATCATCAGTCAGGAGCGGCTTGTTTTCTTTTAGGAAAACATTTACATCTCAACACACTGTGGCTTACAGTCAAAAACGTTAGCCCAAAATGCTGGTACTTAAAACATGGTTATCTAATTCAGAAGGAATAATGTGAGTAGCGCGAAGAAGATTCTTTAACCGTGCTGTTTTAGCCGCAAGTATATCAAGGTAGTTCAGCTGCAAGTACTTCAGAAATCCAGTAAAAAAGTACAAACAGAATCGTTGGAGGATGTCTGCTTTACATCTTTTGAGAATGACATGACAGGTAAAAAACCAGTGTAATTGTGAAATTTAAACAAGATCCTAGAAAATTCATAATCAGATCAAAACGTGATAAATCATAAGCACTTTAAATCCAAAACGCCCAGTGAAAAGTAAAAGCCATAACACGACGGAACTCTGGTAGGCGCAAAAGGTCTCCCAGGCGGCTAGAAATAAGGGAAAGATGGGATCGGTTAATATTTTGGAGCAGATCGCGGTCGACCGTCTAAGCAGGTGTCCAGGATGCGTTAATAATGAACATCAGAGAACATCAAATGTTCACTTGCAAATTTCTGAAATTTTCAGCTCGTTTCGTGATTCCCGGTGGTCACTGCGTGAGGTCATTAAGTCAGCGTGAAGTCACGTGATGCGAGGCTGAATCTAAGTGATGCATTACCCAATTCCTGTAAAACTATTTAAGATTTTCAAGATTAAAATTTTACTTCACATTTACTGTTAAGTTTTATAAGTATCTGCTCCTTGGAAATTCCGTGACTAACCTGACTAACCCACAAAATGCTACAAAGGTATCACGGAGACAGTAACAGATTAATGTTGATGATGTCGATAGAGGAAACACCTTTCCAGAATTTAAAATTATCGTGTTAACTAAATGTTTAATTTTTGGTTTGTTACGGTTTAGCGCATCACTCCTTATCACTTTCGACCAGCTTACGAATTTCAGAAGTGATGCAATACTTTGTATATCAAATATTAAGTATTCAGAAAGGTAAGTTTCTCCTTTAGTTCATAGATAATTTGACATAAACATATTGCGAATTACTAAGATTAGCAATCGACCATTGTAAAACAAAAAAGTTAAAAGATGACAGTGGTGGTATAAACGAAATTGGTCAGAGATCGGCTTTCCACTGTATTCCGCTCTCCGCGTTACGGCATAAATAGAAGCGCAGCCGCTGGATTGAGGAGACGTGGCTCATTGCCTGGTGTGTCGCCGCGTGCACATCTGCCAATCGTTCAGATTCACTTGGGCATAGAACTATGTGCTGACATCTACGCCGGGTGTGCGCCATGAAATCTCATTTTGAGAGAATACTCAGCATCCACATTTTTTTGGATTCGTAGCGAGATGAATGTCTCTCAAAGATGCTGCAAAAACCGATTCGTTTGCGTAAAAAGTCTGACCAAAATTCACCCGTTAGCTAGGCAAATTTCTCCACTTTGCACAGTATATTTGCCCCGTTCGAAGTTTATCGACTTAACACAACCCGCTGTCACCTTCTCTGACCTGAATAATTGAAAATGCGAGTCAGAATAATCTACAGTGGCAGTACACTAAGTGAGTAATTCAGAAAAGCTCACACGAACTAAAAAAAATACCGGCAAAAAGGTGCGACGCGTTGCTGCTGCGGGAGCGATACATTTGGTGGAGGTCGCGATCGAGAATGCGGTCCATGATCTAAAAGGAGAAAACGAACTGATTTGCATTAGAATGGTCGATCCGTCGAAACGACCTGCACGATTTTGTCCGGCCGGTCCTTGTAGCGCAGCAACAGCGCGAGGGCAAGGTCGCCCTTCTGGCGACGCAAACCCTCATGAAGCAACGGATGCTCTGTCTCGCTGACGGTCGTTTTCATGGACAGCGCGGTGACAGCCACCTCGAAACCAAGCAGTTCGTCCTGAGGGACATGAAACGCGTTTGGGGTGCTACAGTCCATGCAGAGACAGTCGTAGAGGTATGAGGCGAGCGATAACGGAAGCACGCCGTTGGCCTTTGACGACGAGAAGTCGCTGATGAAGCGGCGCGCCTTGTCGCGCACCACCTCCATTTCTTCCCTGGTCAGT